GAAAGGAAAAAATATGAGAAGAGGAAAAAAATGGAAACAAGGTCTTTGCAAATAGGGAAGGGTGGAGAGGGTGAAGGGAGGGCAGGGGAAGGGGAAAAAAATAAGAACCAAGTGACTCATGTAATGGTACAAGATCCCAATGATGAAATGTAACTGTATTGTATACCTAAAATGTACCAATAAAGTTAATGGGGGGAAGAAAAAAAAAAGAAAATAGGGAAAAGGTTTCCGGCGTACCTGATAGGGCAGGTTGGCTTCAGACACCACGTCACATGTGGGAAACGCTGCAGCTATTAGAGGTAGGAGAACCCAAGGTTCAAACAAGGGTCTCTAGGACACCGAGGCCGAGTTTCCCCACACTCGCCTGCAGATTCTCAGGCAGGGGCATCCGGAAGTGCCCCTCTCCAGAGCCCCTGGAAGCCGTCTCTGCAGGGTGATGACACCCCGTTTTCTGCCCGCAGTGTGTAAGTGTGTGCACGGCGTGTGCAACAGCGGACTCCAGGGTGACGGGACCTGTGAGTGCTACTCTGCCTACACCGGCCCCAGCTGTGACACACGTGAGTCCCCTCGCCGCCTTCCTTCAGGGAACAGAAGGCTGCGTTCAAGCCTTGGTGAAGAGCTTCTGGTCGCAGCCCACTAGGGGGCAGAGACATTGTCTGCTTGGCCTAGGCCTACACTGCAGCACCGTCCCTGGCAGACAGGGGGCAGCACTCAGGGCCCTGGTGAGCCCAGGCTGGTGGACAGAGGCACCAGGAAGTGGGGTGTAGAGGGAGTGCACAGGGTCGGCATGGGGACAGCTGCAAGAAGGTGGTCACAGAGCCCAGGCCAAGGATGCAAGGAACCCGAGGGAAGATGCATCTGGGTGCATGGCTGGGGCAGAGGACCCTGTGCAGACCACGGAGCTGCAGGTGGACACTGCTCATGGGCCCAGTGGACATGGTCCTGACGGCCACCCATTCCAGCCCAGACTGGGGTGAGCAGACACCCCTCTGTGGACCCATCATCTCCTTCCCCAGCCACCCATCTGCCCAGTGACTTGGGAGCGAGGCCTCCTTGCTAAGACAGAGATGCAGACCAGAAGCCAAGCTGAGGGAGAACACTCTCAGACTTACTTCCAAGAGAAAAAATATTTCTATCCCGACAGAAGATAAACAAAAGGCACGGGCAAAAAATATTTGCCATTCACATGGCAGATAAATTTTTATAATAATATAAAGTCCGTGATCCAAGTTTAAATATAGACCTAGGAGAAGCTAAGATACAGAATAAGAAATGAAAGCCAGAAGTAAACATGAAAAGGGCAATAAACCCACAAGCAACCTCACAAATACAAATTCAAACCATATTGAGGTAAGACAGGAATTCTAGAGCTTTGGTTTCGATTTCTTTGCCCATTATGTTACACAGAATCAAAAGGTGGATGGTACCTACGGATATGAGCAAAATACAAGGGGTGATGTGGGGTGGGGGAGTCATCTACTGAATCTTAAGGCACTCCTATGAGCTGCTGAGCTCCAGTTCTAGGGATTTACCCTGGAGGAAGAAAGGACTAAGGACCAGTCATGAAATATGTGTGAGGAGGAATTCATGGCATATTGTTTGCAAGAAGCAAACCAGCTGAAGGAAAACCTAGAAGTTAAGATTGGCTAAACAAATTTTGATACACCCCATAATGGTTAGGATAATGCTAGCTGCTACAAAAAATAAACACAAGAATTCAGTGGCTCAGCACTGTGGATGTAAAACTACGCCCTAAGGCAGCCCTAGGTACTACATCCAATCCACTGGGTACCACTGGATATCTTAAATTGTTGAGGGACACCCAGTGATACATGCTGAGCTGCTAGCCTGAGTCCATTCCGAACACGAGGTCCTATTAAGTTCATTAGTTAGTGGCTCTGAATTTTGGCTCTGTCCCATGATATCTTATCTTTGCCTAGCTGCATTTCCACTGATGTAATTTGCTATGATAAAAAGCAAGTGGTGATGTAAAAATCAGTGAGACCAAAATGAGGCTCTCAGTCCAATCTGATTCCAGAGTTTGGGAACTTGTGTAGTGGGTCCAACAGACTCCTATGGCTCATTTCCAAGCAAAGGTGATAATTTAAGAATGAAATGGAAAATAATTTTCTTTCTAGTAAGCATGTCACTTTTTCAAATGGCTACTAAGTTCTTATGACATAAATAGTTACTGAGCTATTTGGTTTATAAATGTTGGAAATGGGCCCACTAGGTACATCTTTGGGGGCCAGGGGACCACAAAATCGTATTGACACACTAAAGGCACCGTGGCCGAGACATCCGGGGAGCTCCGGGTTAACAAACAGAGGTGGAGCCCCGCGCATGCGCCTGCCCATGTTAGTGTTCTTGGCGGGCTTTTCGGAAGCAGATCGGCCCACACATCTGCAGAGCTGGTCACCACGCCTTCATCCTACCCAGCAAGTCAGAGGTGCCCAGGCCACACGGGGAAGGTGGGTGACACTTCTGAGGGGCAGCTGCTTAGCCTCTAACCCCACTAGCACCCAGTGGCCAGCAGCTTCCGCGTGCATAGAGATTTCTGAGGCACCTCCAGCTGGACAACCCGCTCTGGTGCCCAAGAAAGCAGATTTCCAACAATTCTCCCAATCCAAGAACGTCAGCAACTTCTCCCCACAATATGACCAAGCCATGCCCGTCGTGCTGACCTCTACATCCCAGGCTTAGGGAGAGGAAGGTTCTCCCTTGGGTACTCAGCCCTAGGTGAGCGATTGATTTCTCTTTATACATCTGCCATTCCTTTATTCTTTAGAAGTCTTTTTTGATGTTCATTAGCTAATTTTCCATCATTCTTTATATTGAAACACAACCTACTCAAATAAGGATGTGCCTGAGCCCTCAATAATACATTGACCATTGGAGAAATAAGAACAAATGCCACAGAACCCCTCATACAACAAAACCCGCTGCACGTGCAGAGGTCAAGCAGGCCCTCCTTGCCTCGCCCTGAGGAAGCTGGGCTTGGAAAAACTAGTGCCCGACCCTGATACTCTGTTCCTGCTGATCATGTGGGTGATAAACTACCCTCCGCCTCTGACCCAGGAGTCTTGCGCTAAGGCGTCCATGGCACTATTGCAGCCCAGCTGTTAGACTCTCTACAGTCCCGTGCAGCCATCTATGTTACAATATTAGGGAGTACTGTGCAGTTTTTAGGGATGAGAGTACTAGGTTCTTAAAGACTTCCCTGATACGTTGGTAAATTAAAACTCAAATTAGTATTTTAACAGGGTTTGGTTTTGGTGAAAACCATTGCATAAATAAGTTTATAAATGAATGCATTATGTTGGTTGTTGATATTGGTTCTTTGGGGATTGGGACTGAGGAGTGAGAATTAAAACACAATTAGTCTTTATGTATTCTATATTTTTAAAATTATTGCAGTGAGCCTGCACTGCTTTTTAATAAAAGGAAACCCTGCAGTTTGGGGTTTTTTAGAACTGGTGCAAGTACCTAATGCTCTTTCTGTACAGCTGTCCCTGAATGTGCAGCCTTGCTCTGCCCAGAAAATTCCAGATGTTCACCTTTGAAAGAAGACAGAACCAAGCTAGGATGCCGATGCCTCCCCAATTACAAAGGCGATGGCAAAAACTGTGAACGTGAGTAGAATTCCGTCCTGCCGGGTTCTTCAGTGGTTAGGTTATTTAACAGCAAAAACATTCGCAGCCTCCTTAACATTAACACAACCACTGAATATTAACGTTTCTATTTCTCTCTATGTAGCTAAGCGAAATATGTCAAGAGGGCCAGGCAAAAAGCGGACCCTACCATGGCCATCCTCAACGAATGGCAATTTCTCCTTCTGTGTTCAAAGCACATAGATCGACTTCGATACATTTTATATCATCTTAATCAATATTGGTATAAAACGCAGTGCCTCTTTCTTTAATTTTCTTGGGGTGTTTGTTTTCCTTATGAGTGGCTATATTCTACATTTGTTAGGATGACGTCTGGAGCCAGAGTGCCTGGGTTCAAATCCTCCATCTGTCTTTTACTAACTAGATGACCTTTAACCCGCCGTGTCTCAGTTTTCCCATCCACCCAATGGGGACAAAAATAGGATCTTAGTCTTGCAACATTATTATACGCCTTACGTGAGTTCATTAACATATGGGAAATGCTTCGAACAGGGCCCAGTGTGTATTGTAAATTCTACAAGCATTAGTTTTCTTTCATGCTACTTTATATTTATTTCACCCATCATATGGCATGATAATATACCAGCAGAATACTTGTGGCTACAACTGCTGAGGCTACATGCTGGTCTGGTGGGGTTGGGGGTGTCAGATGGGATGAAATGAAATGTTTCTTCCTCTCTTGAAACCTGAGTGGCTCTGGTTGCTGTGACCACAGTCTCCTCTAAGCTGTCCTCCTCCTCTGTCCCTGCACACGCTGGCTGCCTCTCATCTTGCCGCTGCTTCTGAAGCCATCAACCCATGCTTACAACAACCCTGCCACCTTCACGCCCACTGTGCATACCTGGGGCCAAACCAGCACAGCTGCACGTGCAGGGACAGCTACTTCGGGGATGGCCGCGTGTGTCTCCCGCTGGATCCCTGTCAGATGGACCTCGGGAACTGCCCGCCCGCATCCACGGAGTGCAAGTATGATGGGCCTGGACAGGTGAGTTAGGCGCATGGCCACTGAGGGTGAACTTGTGCCCTGGAGTCTTTTGCCTCCCGGGCCCCCTTTGCCCCTCCTTGGGTGGATGTGGCTGGATTTCAGCCTCCACCCTCCATCTCTCCAGTGTCTTTGAAGTGAAGGGGAGAGAGCCTCTTCAGGGCTCAAGTACCCTGTTCCAAAGGGATGAAACCTGATGGGGCGTCAGGCAGCAGTGAGAACTGCAGGGACCAGAGAGGACATTCTGGGTGAGCCGCTGTCCCTCTGCGTCACACTGTGGCCTTGACTGCTGGAGGTCAGGACAGGGGACCTTTGCCGAGGAGCCCAGGTGAAGGAGCCCCGTGCCTGGCCTCGTATTCATCTATCGAGCGTTCAGTGGATGGCTCATGTGTCCCTAATTGCAACCCAAGTCCTCAGTGGAGGAGATGGGTCCTCACAGACGAGTCTCGGCCCCTGGAAGGAGGAAGGCTGGTGTGCAGCTCAAACACAGCCAGTCCCCCCGACACACACTCTGCTTGGCACCCCGGTGGGAGTGTTCCTGGGATTCTGCAGAGAATCACCCACCTCTGCTCCAAGGAGAAAAGTGTGCCACACGTTTCCACTGGGCTGATTTGCAGAAAAAATCCAGGGGGTAAATGCTCTCCATGGAAGTGAGGGCCTTAGGGGAAATCTCAGGACCTCAGGAGTGAGATTAGACAAGTGCTTTGTCTCTTAAAAAATGGAGCCCAATCACTGCTAAACTTGCCCTGTCCTTCTACCTCTATCCCTCCCTCCCCAACTCCTTCTAAGTCCCCATCTGAAGGGTAAAGTTGCTATATTGAAGAGTTTATTCACTATAAACATATGTTGGGCTGGTCCTCAATTTTGATTTAATTCACATGGTTAACAGTGATAGATTAATAACTACCACAAATTGTCATTTTCTAAACTGTGCTTGATACTATTATTGTTGCTAAATGTATCACTTGGGCTAAGCTGTTGTGATTGATCTAATCAATTGTCCTTCCCGGAATAATGAAAATGAGATTGCCCCAGAGTCATTAGAGACTCAAAACCCAAAGACCAGCTATATCTGGAAGACACCTCTGAGAAGCAATCATTCCATAAGGGTTCTAAATACAAGCAACAAAGATACTTACAATAAGCATTATCAAAGTATCAACCCAGGAATTTAACCAAGGACAGTACCAACAACAAAAGTAGAAATGTGAAGACATCTGAGCAAGGCACAATCCCAGACTTCCAGCTCACCAAAAGCAAATTCTGGGGGAAACAAGGTGGAAAAGTCAATAATCAACCACGTGGACACCCTGAACTTATAGCACAGAAAGTAATAAAACAGATGAATGAGGCTCTAGGAAAATTCAAAGCAGAAATAATCTCCCAGATAACTACAGAGAGGGTGAGCAGAATGACAGACATGATTGGAAACGCTAGAACCGAAACAGATTTTTTAAAAGTAGATGAGTTCAGGACCATGATGGAAACCATGAACGCCCAACATAGGAAAGAAATGGAATCCATGAAACAGATTCAAACACCTATCCAGGAGATTAAAAACTCTATTGAAACTAATACACAGCAGACTGAGCCAATCTGAAGGTAGGATATCAGATATAGGATGGCAGTCAGTGACCATGAAAAGAGAGATCTCTTAAAAATAATAAGGGACCATGAGAAATCAATCCAACTGCTCCTAGATGATGCAAAGAAGAATAATATAAGACTGATAGGAGTCCACAAAGAAGCAGGAAAAAGTACAAATGACATAAAAAAAAAAACTGTTCACAGAATTAATGACAGAAAACTTCCCAAACAGAGCAAAAGAATTTGACATACAGATAAGTGAGGCATATAGGACTCCAAATAGCCATGATCAAAAAA